GCCACAGCCAACAAAAATAAGAGCACAGCTCCATACTCATACACATGACAAKAGTCAGTCTCCTCCTGCAGTGATGTGAAACCCTAAATGCGGAAGGCAGACAATGGAATAGCTGCCATCACTATTTCACTTGGAAAGAGAGATGACACCTCAATTCAGCACCCTGATTTGCATCAACACTCTGCCAGGCTTCCTATCTACCTACAACCCAAAGTCAGAATAAAAAGGTTTTAGATAATGCAATTTAGATCTGTACGGCCTTTGTCTGGTATCAGCAATCCCTCTGTGAGGCTCACTCTATCTCAATTTATCAAATTGAAGAACCTTCTGAAATAAGGGCCCTTTGGCACAGGAAAATAATGTGACATCGGTGATCACTTTTAAAAAACATTGCATAAAATAATTTCCAATTAAAAAAGATAATGCARCTATTGCCAAATACCTGCCCAACACCACTAGGCGTGCTTCTCTCTCAAGAGAAATGCACAGGTCTGTTTAACATCGATGGGTCATGTCTGATCTGTGTCTTTTGCTTTATTGACTCACCCAGCCCTRGCACAGCTTTCTGAGGAAAACTCTTGTGTCCATCCTCACTACTGAAAACTGGTCTTTCAGAATGGGGGAACCAGCAGGGCAAGTTGTAAGGGCAGTTGTGGGGCTCCCACAGGTCTGAAGCTTAAACAGAGCCTCTGAGAGCRACATTGCTCCTTCAGAAGTGATAAGTGTCTTGGTGGATACACCCTGGCATGGCAGCAGATGCTCCTGAAGCTATCTGACTCCAACAGCTGGACATAATGGGGATTCCAGGAGAGGTTTAGTCCAACAGCTGGGTAAGGGAAGGCCATGGCTTCCTTGCTTGGGCTCCATAGCTACGGAAACAACAAAASTGGCAAACGTCTAAAAATAAGGTGAAATGAATACACTGCTCAAGCCTGCATTTGAAGGGAAAACACACTTAGGGTTACAAACAAAGCAAATGCCCTAAGTGTTTACCAGATCAGTGGAGGTTAATCTCAAAAGATACAACATGTAATTAATAATGGTATTACATGTACTTTTGACCAATCAGAAATGGTACAAAGTTTATAATTGCTATATGAAGTTTAGAGAAGCAAACAAATGCTCAGTCCTTTCTAATAGGCAGCCACAGAAGGAGCAGTGCAATGATAATCCAGYTAAGTCCCAAAAGCAGCCCACTTGCAAAAGAGACTTGGAAAATTTCCCTGTCAGGTTTCCAGGAGTGCTAATTTTAGAGTGTTTTTCATAGACTCTTGAAGAAAAATTCATATATTTAGGGATATAATTTGGGTTTGGCAAGCAGATGACATGTTCTCAACAGTGACAAGCCCAGGGGACAGCAATTATAAACTAGGTTTTTTGTTTTTTTTTTCTTCAGGTGTTATGTTCTATGTTTGGATAGCTGGTTTAGATCTGACATCAGGGAATTATCTGCTTCTCATTTTACTTTGTTCCCACTCCTTTTGGCAATACCTTTTTGGTCTCATCATTCCTACCAGTGATATTTTAAAGACTGTGTAGAATTTTATAAGATTTTCTCCAACAATCCTTGAAAATCCCATACATATTCCACCTTTCACTTTATTTAAGGTATCATAACAATCCTCATACTTCATTTAATTTCAGCGGATACATGTGGTGTGAGGCACTTTGTGGCTAGACAAACTTATTGCAAGACTGGGCTTCTTATAGAAARGTTAAAATTCATGTCTCTCAGTTTATTTACTTTGGACCTCTCTTTTGTAGAGGTYTCAGCTTCAATTTTCCAACAGATCTGGGAAGAGAGAGAGGAAGAAAGTGACAGCAAAGCACTGTTTACGGGTAAAACTTGCGATTCCAGCAGGGTGGCAAGATCATGTAGCCATGTCCTGGAATGATAAGGCAACTTCACAACAGGTGTCTTCATATTGTATTACTTGTAGATAAATAATGATGTGGGCATCAGTTTTCCTTTAAGTACCTCAGGCACATGATTAAAAGGAAGATCACTATAATGGATCTTCCCTTACAGACTGAAAACTGAGAAATGAAAGTGTTCTTTTAAACTGAAAAASTAATAATTTAGTTTTCAAGTCTATTTTGTGAATTTCTGGTGTTTGACTCCTGCTTTTTTAAACACTTGGACTTTCACAACAGAAACCTCAATCTCTATGAGGATTAAAGGAACAGCAGCAAAAGCAGCAAGAGATTTTTCCTACTAATAATTCAAGCAATACTGCTATCCACTAATGAAGTCATCCTATGTTTACTTGTATTGCAATAATAGGCAATGAAAATAACAGAGAATGAGCTGAAAAAATGTTATTCACCCCACCAATTGCTCTCTCTGAACATACTACAACAAAGATGCAGTCCTTTGGATACCCAAACCCATATACTGGTCAGAGTTAGTTCACTGAAAAAAAAATTAAAAAAAAATGCCAACTTCCCTTTGTCCTAAGAGGAAATAAAAAAGAGAAATCAGGTCAGAAAGAAACWTACAACACTGGGACAAACTCAGGGAGACTCTGAGTGCAGGGTTTTTGATCTGTTCTCTGGTGAAATATTTTCTTCTGCTGCTGTTCACATGTTGAACTAAGCGATGTCTCTGTTACCAATTGCTCTGCACAGCAGCCAAAGTAACTTTGCAAAYACACAACCAAGCAGGACTGCAGGCTTACTTGCAGTGTGTCTTTTACTGAAAAATACATTTTATTTATTATAACATTCGAGAAAAAAAAAAACAACAAAACAAACCCCAACATAATACAAATGCCAGCTCATTCAATGACAAACTTTGGTACTTGGCAGTTTCAGAGTCTGTTCTCATGTGGCTGTGACGCACTGAAGTGTTCCCGGTGTGCAATTCCGAGAGCGACTCCACTGTCCTTCAATCCCAGCCCACGGCGTCCTGCAGTGGGATAACTTTGGGTTTCAGCTATGCACTTGCCACAGTGTTGTCTCCATYAAGAGCAGCTCAAAGAGTCCATTTCTCTCCAGTTATACATCTCCTTTTTCTTAATTTTTCCTCCACAGGCAACAATCATCAGCACGATGCGCTCACAGCATTTTCCCCTTTGCCTCACAGCCCAACCCTCTCTGATCAGACATAACACCCACATCCTCTTGACAATCACTATCCTTACCTCACATTTGCACTTTTAAACATCTTGACACTGATAACTAACCCACCTCTTTAAAAATGAGAGGAAAAAGAAAGGGGCGGGGAGCAAAAATGGGAAGAAATAAAAAAAAAAGAAATAGGTGAAAAAAAAGCAAAAGCATTTTTAAAGTATGTGTTCTCAGGTAGCCACAAGTTAATGGCAATATAGAAGCATAAGGAATGACACTTTGGCCATCAACACTAAAGAATAAAGGTARCTTTGAATGCAGACAAGGGGAAAAACCACCCCACACAACCCATAAATAGCTTTCAAATCATTCACCAATTGATTCACCAAAAGTTAAATTTGTCTGAGTGAAACCAACCCTGTTGCAAAAGACCAGAACAACATTCTGGGGCACCACTCTAGTCCCGCTCAAACTTTTAATTGGATCCTGCCCTAAAATGCGTGGACAGTTGGCTGATGCAGCCCTCGAGCCCTGACAGCAGGGCTGGGAGGGAACTTGAGTGGTGCCCAGGATTTTGCCCTGCTTTGCACATGGGGTGGATTTCAGCTGTAACATACTACGACTGCACCGTGAAACATATAATACTAGCAGCTTGTGAGCCCTGACACTGAGGGCTTGACTCTAATCCAAGATATGTGGTTACACATCACCCCATCCACTGGAGAAATTCACCACTGGGTGTACATGGAGGAGCACCATATTACCAGAGCTTTTTTCTGCTGAGCTTTTGTGGCATTATCTGCTGGGTCCAGCTCAACTCAAGCCCAGAGCTTGGGTTCTACGAAGTGGAGAACCCAGTGCTTGGGTCTGCAAGGCACTCAGCACTCTGGGATGAGTTCAGCAAAGCTTTGCATTGGTGAGTGAAGGAAAATATCCTTCCACTGAAGTCCCCAGGAATCTGCTTAGATATCTGAAGTTGGAGGTGCATGTGAAAGCTTTGCTGGGCTGGCTCTGCGAAGAGAAGCACCTTGCAAAACTCACCCCTTGATGCAAACATGAAGTCTCTTTGGTAATAGACAAAATCAAGTAAACACTGTTTGACATTTGGATTGACACATTCCACTGAAGTAATCTCCCCTGAGAAAATAAATGGCTGYTGGTATTCCCTCATTTCATAGCTTTCATCTCCACAGGCAGTGAAAAAACACSCTGCAAAGTTTTGCTCCAGCAAATACACACTGAAATCCTGGGCACTTGCTGTCTATGCATTTTTATTTTTTTTTTCCTTTTAAGTACACCGGGTGAAACTGTAAACCTGAGGTTGTGTGTGCAAACCTATATCTTGTAAACTGCAACGTGAAACTCCGCTCCGAGCACCGATATAGGAACAGGTAGGACAGGAACACTTTGGGACAGGGATGCTAGTATTATTCTGGACACCTGTGTGTCACTGGGGACCACCTACTCTGGTACCTGCACTGTCCTGCAGTCCCAAGTACTGTTCTGTGTAACACTGACACTGTAATCACGACACCTAATTCACTTCTCAGTCATGAGAAAGGGGAGGAAGCATTCATTTCCTTCAAGAGGCAGTCAGCCCCAATCCCAGAGGGAAGTTAAAGCTCATAACTGCAGGCTGGACAACTGAGGAGCACAGGCATTATTAGCCTTACACTGTGCCTCAGTTGGGCACACCAAGCCCTTTACAAGGGGTCAGAATATTCCCTGGATTTCCACAATGATGAAAATGAGTGAGAAGGTTTGTGAGAATTCACTCTATCTGCACGCTCGCAGTGCGTTTCATCCCAATGGCAATTTCAATTTGTGCCTGTAAACAAATAAACTGCATTGCAATCCAATCTCACACTTATGCTTAAAGACATTTCTGAGTTTTCTGTGTCTTATGAGTTAAGAAAATGAAAACCCGGGGCTTATTTTTAAAATGAAAAACATGGAAACTTCCTTAGCTGCAGGAAACCTTGAGAACAGGTGGAGGAAAATCCTGCCTGTGGGCAAATGCTGACGTATAGATTTCTGGGTTTTGCATTTAGATGTTGAAATTCGATTCTGTAACCCCAGGAAAGCTTTATATTATGTAATTTATGATATGCAATTTAGGTTTGCTCTTACATTTATTTGCTTCCCAAAGTGCTTCACTTTCAAAATTTTGGTCAGGGAACAAACTATTGTATTTTAGTTTTACTGTCATAATARCAATTCTCTTTTGCTGATGCAAACTAGTTGCTGGTAACAAAACAATCMGTTTAAGCAGAGTTGGACAYATAAATCACTGCATCARCAATAATGTTATATTTTCTTGYATGAAAGAGAGATAGTTTGTTTGCAAACTGTAATTGTAACCCTCAGATAAACCTGTCAAACAACATCTAAAGAAACAACTACMCAGTATTAAGGTTGTAACATTGCAAAATCCTTCTCCCAGGGCATTGTTTTCAACAGTGTGGCAATTTAAGGAAGAATAGACTACAGTCTTAAAGAAAAATAAATGCTCTTCTCCCCTCTAGAACCAGGATTTTAAAGTATTACATTCACTTTCTGGTTTCCCAGTATTTAAACACTGTCATAATTAAGGCAACTTGGGATGTTCAATGCAGTACAGAGGAGCAAAAAATGAAAGCAATCAAATGTGTTTTCTGACATTTACACAGCTTCTTTTGAACCATGCCAAAAAATAAGCACTAAAGATAAATTTAACACTATAGCTCTCCTCATTTGCAATCCCAAGTGAGAAGTACACAGTACAAAAAACCATCTGATTGCAAATTGTGACCAAAACCTGTATGGAAGACCCTCATTTACTGCAATAGGAGAGAGTTGAGGGCTTTATTTTATTTTTTAAAAGTGCAGGGCTGCACTGGATTATCACAACACGTTCCAGAGACCTGAATGAAGCTGTGTGTCGATCCACAGTGAAACACTGCTGCATTTACACCCTGCATTTTACAAACAGCTGTGGTGGCATTACTGCCATTGGCTACCAGCACAGAAGCAATGCCTAAAGCCTGCCTAAAGCAGACTGGCTTCAGTACAAAAACAGCTTTGCACAAAATAATGCAGTAATTTAGTGCTGCTCACATAATTAAATGTAGGCATCCTCCAAAACAGGAGAGCATTTAGGGGAAAACAAGAAACTTACATGCTTGTTTTGTATGATGAAGAAAAAAAATTGAGAAAAACTGCAGAAACAGTTTTTAGGATTGATGCTGAAGAGTTACCAAGTGTATTTCAAATTAAAGAAGCGTAATTCTTCTTCAATATCCCTGTGGAAGAAAAACAAACAAACAAAAACAGAAAAGTATAATTAATACAGATTGTTAGAGAGCTGCCACAACAATCTGAACAATCTTTACTCTAGAGAAGTGAATAAATACCTCCTTTGCCATCACACTATCCTTGCTACTCATTTCCTAAGCTATCTCCAACAATTACACAACTTCTCAAACCCAGTCAATAGTYGGGCAGCCCTGTTTTTCTGAGCAGAACCCATCCTTGTTGCTCAATGCCCTGCCTTCCAACCTCACAGCTACCCACAGACTGCTCCTGGAACCCCACGGACAGAGGTGGGAAGGGGGCGATGTCACCCACACGGGATTTAACTCATCCATCCAGTCAGTGCAAGAGCTGGGCACTTTCCTTACCCACTCAGCATCCAGCAGGGAATTCCTCAGGAAAAGGGAAACAACCCTTACCCACGTGCTCCAAGATTTGTGAAGTGAAGACCTAAACACCAGTTCAGGAAATGCTCCTGGCCAGGAAGAGTCATTAAGCTCACCATTAACTTACCAGCCTTGYTGGTATCAAGGCTAAGCACCATTGAAATGTTCCCTCAGTAGCCTCAGTTTTGAACATAAAACATTTGCAGAGTGATTTATTGGATCAAATGTTGAAGTCTGTTTTTTTCTTGTAATATTCARTATTTTCCACTAAAATTGGATAAATGCTTTACTAAATTCTCAGCAAAGRCATCAGCATAAGTAAATCCTATGTAAAGCATTTTACACTATAAGTTGACTTCTTGACTTAGTAATGTAGAATGTACATCCTGCTGAACAGGGAACAACTAAAACAAAGTTTAAAGATAGCGATTTATGAGCCTTTAAAAACCATTCATATAGGGATCCACACAAAATCAGTTTTTAAAGGCAGGCATAGATTATCTGATAGCAGTTAGGGAGAAAACACAATTAACAATATATTTGCATATGTATTCCTGAGACTGTGTTTATGCTCCTGGTTAAACAGAACAATGAAAAATACCCTTCTAATATTGGCAGTACAATTTACTACAGTTGCTTTCTACTTTACTACCTTTTCTCTTCTCATTTATTTACCTAATGCAAGGCAGCAGCTCCATGGAGCATAATGTGGGAAGATACACAAAAGTTAAAAACACATTTTYGGTCATTCACGTTGGGAATGAGCTCCTGTCAGACAGGCCACTCACTACAGGTCCGTGCTGTCAAGGCTTGAAATCAACTGTATTTGAACTGAAAATCAGCATCACTTTTTTCCCATTTCAAGGAAGAAGTGCCCCAAGAAAGAATTAGATTGCTAAAGCCCCCCCTCTATTGTGAGTGAAGAGGAGGGAGAGAAGCAACCTCACAATATCTGTCAGAAATGTGCACATATTTTGTACTATTTTCTGCATGTCAAAAACTTAATCATACAGAAACGGCAGTTTTGATTTCGTCACAGTACAAATTGGTGGGATCATTTTATCCCAATGATTATGCAGAAAAGAGCACCGGACACAARAGGAAGAGCTGGAAGAGCAGCAGATGTGCAGAGGATTTGGTACCAACATCACCCTGGGCATCACACCATGACCAAAGTCAAGTGCCACTGACCTCCCAGAGGTGACAGACCCAGATGGAGCARTCCTTGACACAGTGATACAGTTTGTGAGTGAGGATGTGAAAGAAACAGAGCAAAGAAGGGAAGAAGATAATATGTGCAGTGCAGAAAGGAATTCAGARGTGGAAAGAGAATTCATTCAACTCATTTTGCCTAGTAAAAAAAAGAAGGACCTGAAAGAACAGTACTTTCACTCTCACACGCAAAGGATGAAATCTGGCTCGTTTAAAATCCATTTTAGGATATACACAGCATTGCTGCAATCAAAAAACCCTGGTGTGATGTAAAAGCAATTTGAATTTAAAAAAGTTAACAACAGTTCACCCTTTGATTCACATGGAATTATACTGCTGTTCTTGTTAGGGGGAAAACACCACCCTGAGCAAACAAATGCTTTTCAGAAGAGAATGACAAAAGAGACAGAGGAAAATAATGGAAAATAGAAGAGAAAGTAGATAATAAAAGACAGAAGAGAGAAAATCATTCACAAGGACATGAAAGTTATGTAGATGAATGAAAATAACAGGAAGAAATCTACAGATGTGATTCCCCTCTGGCATATACCTAATTTTCTACTGAGAGTTAAGATATATGAATAACCAAAGTCTAATGACAAATTAAATATATCCTGCAGCATGCAGTTAAAATTATTTGTTTTATGACTGTCAGAACAGGAAAAAAAGTGCACACTGCATCCATTGCAGAGCAGCAGGACACCTCCCTCAGCAGGTCTGGGATGGCCCAGAGGGGGCAGCCCTGTCTGTATGAGACAATGTGCAGCATGATACGTTCCACAATTAAAAGAACAGCAATTTCAGTTCAGCCTCCAGACCAAATGGAAAATAATCAGCTGCTTTTTGCCATTTTATCTAGATTCTCTGTGAAGACTTTACTGATGAGATGAACTCTAGTAGCACAGCAGAGCTCAAGCTAAACTGGCACGTTGCCTGTCCTGACTGACCCACAAGGGCCAATGAAAACAACTTCATCAATAGCCAGKATAAAAGAATGGAACTTCCAAGATAAAGTATTTACAAGCAGACAAGTTAGTGTATAAATCACATCAATAAGGTTACATTCAACAAATAATCTACTATGCAGTAGTAGATGATGCAAACTAAAAAAATTAAAGCAAAAAATATATCCGAAGTGCTGCAAGATAAAATTTACCCTCAGGTATGCAACAAACTGGTGACAAACCCAAACCTCTGACTGTTGCCACTCTGCCACTCTTGTTTTCTCTTCGCCTCTTTATAAACATGAAAAACRTAAGCCGTGCATTCTGATGCAAGAGGCAAAAGGAGCATTGACATCCTGATCCTGAAGGTGCTTCTGTAATATTTCAGGTCTTTTAAAATGGAATGTCATCGTTCCTCGTAATTTTGCACAAGACATCCTGCACCACACGTTTCAGTGCTGCATTCCCAGTCCCGTGCCCTCCTCCCTGCTCCAGGACAGGTGCCTGGTGCCCCTGCACACACATCCCTGAGCCTGGAGGGTGGCCCTGGTTACAGCCCCAGGGACCTSGACACTGTCAGGACTATGGCACTGCAAGCTTGGGGCTGCTGTGCTTTGCAGCGGTGCCCCTGGGCCCACTGGAGCCCTCCAGCAGCCCCAGCAGCCGTGGGCACCTCTGCCCCTGCCAGCAGCCCCAYGGCACCAGGAGAGCACACTGGGACCACTCCATGCATGTCACTCCCTCACCCCACTAACAAGAAAGGCCCAAAATAAGGATTTGCTTCCAGCAGACCCCTCTCCCACTCTTCTTGAGTTCAGGGAGAACAAGGTTCAAGGCAAAGAGAGAGATGCTCATTTCGCCTTGGGAAGAGAAGGTGAGAGGTGAGACGAGGAGAGGATGTGTTGCTGCAGGGAAGGGGCTCTTCCATCTTTCACTGCAAGATGGGTCCAGAACATGGATCCAGAGATGCCCAACCACACTCCCATCCCCAGGAGCAAAGGCAAGTGCCCCAGCCATGGAGCTGCACATGCTGTGTGACGAGCAGCTATGGTGTACTTCTACTGAAACTGCCAAAAAAAGAAGCTATTTACTGCTCCAAGGAATACTGAACTGCTCCAACGGGTGTCCCTAACTATTCTAGCTGTATTTTATGCCCTGGTGAGGGCCTGCCTGTGAACCCTTTGCTCCCTGAGGGGCACAGTTATCCTTGGCCACTAACCCGGTCTGCCCTGACCCATCACCGGTGCCCGACAGGCAGCACCCACTCACCCACGCTCTTCACCGGTGCTCCACCACGAAGCGCATGGTGGTGCCGTCGAAGGAGGGCGGCGCGACGATCCGAGGGCCGGTGGCCGGCGCCGTGATGCTGATGACCGGCTTGGCCTCGGCCGCCCCGTGCCGCGCCGGCGGCGGGCCCTTGCCGGTAGCCACGTAGTAGGGACTCTCTGCAAAAGCCGCCTCCGGCGCRGCGGGGCTGCCGGGCTCTGCCGGGGCGCTGGCATCGCTGCCCGGGTGCGAGAGCGGGCGCTGCAGGGCGCCGGCGGGCAGCACGGCAGCGGCGGGCAGCAGCCCGGGGTACAGCATGTACGTGGCGCCATAGGCGCCGGCATTGAGGGCGAGGGGCGACAGAGGCAGCGGGACGGGAGCCGCGGCCGGCTGCTGGGGCACCGGCACCTCCACGTACTGCCCGGTCTCGGGGTCGAAGAGGCGCCGCTTGAGGGGCTGCTGCACGGGCGTGTCCACCAGATAGTACTGCCCGGTGCTCACGTCCAGCAGCACCTTGCGCTGCGTCTGCGGGAAGGGCTCGGCCGCTGCGGCCGCGGCGGGCACGGAGGGCGAGAAGCAGAGCAGCGGCGGCGGCGCGGCGCCGGGCAGGGCGG